CGATATGGGCGGGAATCTCCCACCCAAACACTGTGCAAATCGATAGTGTTCCACAAGTGAAATACACGTGTGTAGATGTGGGGCAGGGCTAAAAGTAGCATGTTTAATAAGTTAGCTAAGCATTGGCGGGGATTCTGGCACTTAAAACGCGAGTGTGGTGCATCTCTAAACGCGCGAGAACTTCCGAGACAAAAGAAAGTTGATATGGGCGAGAATCTCTCACCGAAGCACTGTCCAAATCGATAGACTTCAATAAGTGAAATACACGTGTGTAGATTTGGTGAAGGGCTAAAAGTAGCATCTTTAAAAGGTTAGGTAAGCATTGGTTGGGATCCCCGGACCTAAAACGCGAGTGTGGCGCATCTCTAAACGTGCGAGAACTTACGAGAGAAAAGAAAGTTGATATGGGCAAGTATGTCCAACCCAAACACTATGCAAATCGATAGTTTTCCACAGGTGAAATACACATGTGTAGATTTTGAGGAGGGCTAAAAGTAGCATCTCTAAAATGTTAGGTAAGCATTGGTTGGCATCCCTGCATCTAAAACGCGAGTGTGGCGCATCTTTAAACGCGCGAGAACTTACGAGAGAAAAGAAAGTTGATATGAGCCAGAATCTCTCACCCAAGCGCTGTCCAAGTCGGAAGACTTCCACAATTGAAATAACCGTGTGTAGCTTTAGAAGAAACAAAACACAAACCGCGGTGATAAACATGGAACCAAAACAATTAAGGAAACATTGTTAATTCGTGATTTAAAGTCAGCTTTGAATGAAAACGTTGGCAGTGAAAACTTTTTCTTTACTAGCATTTTGTATTGTTATTATTATTATTATGGTAATTTTTTTTTTCTCTCACGCAGACTCATCTGTTTGTTATTAACTATTAGTCTTGTTACATATTATTAGATACCAGTCTTTTTCTTTTTCTTCGCGTTTAAATTTCGATTGTAATCTAGTTAACGYTCACTTCTGAAGATGTATGTTGTACATACGAAACGTCAAGGAAATTAACTTTGTTTAACATGCGTTTTGGTTCCATGTTTATCACCGCGGTTTGTGTTTTGTTTCTTCTAAAGTTACGATGGCCAAGTAAAAAGAACCGTGTGTAGATTTGGGGGAAGGGCTAAAAGTTGCATGTTTGCAAAGTTAGGTAAGCATTGGTTGGGATCTTTGCATCTAAAACGCGAGTGTGGCTTATCTCTAAACGTGCGAGAACTTACGAGAGAAAAGAAAGTTGATAGTGGCGAAAATCTCTCACCCAAGCACTGTCCAAATTGATAGACTTCCACAAATGAAATACACGTGTGTATATTTGGGGGTGGGCTAAAAGCAGTATCTTTAAAAGTTAGGTAAACATTGGTTAGCATCCCCGCACCTAAAACGCGAGAGTGGCGCATCTCTAAACGCGCGAGAACTTACGAGAGAAAAGAAAGCTGATATGGGCAAGAATGTTCAACCCAAACACTGTGCAAATCAATAGTTTCCCACAAGTGAAATACACGTGTGTAGATTTGGGAGAGGGCTAAAAGTAGAATCTTTAAAAAGTTAGGTAAGAATTGTTTGGGATCCCTGCACCTAAAACGCGAGAGTGGCGCATCTCTGAACGCGGGAGAACTTACGAGAGAAAAGAAAGTTGATATGGGCGAGAATCTCTCACCCCATGAGGGAACGCAAATGAC